TATGTATTTAAACTATCAAATGAACACCATGCACCAGGCATCTTATAATCTGAATTGTGAGCCAAATAGCTACAACAGATTTTTAATTTACTGTCTGATTCATGAATACAAATACTATATGATAAGCTATGATTATTTATATCTTCACTTTCAAGTGCGTAGCTATTTTTCTTTGCATATAATATACATGTTTTTCCTTGCTGTTTTTTAATTTTTTTTTTATGATCAATCTTGCCCGTTTCCTCAAAGTTTACAGTATTAAGGTCAAGAATGTTATTTTCTTTTTTGTTTTCATAATTTTTTTATAATTTCTTAGAAATATTATCTAACGCCCAATTTAATTTTGTATAATCCTTCTTATTATTACTATCTTTAAACACTTTATATTTAAATATATCTTCTTCCTTCATCTCTTTCATATATTTAAACTTATGTTCATATATAATTTTTTGTTTCTTTTTCTTAGTCTTCTATTTGTAACTGACTCCTGGAACATGAAAGACACCCTGAGTGAGACTATCACCTAAACTTTTAATAATATTCTTTTTATTTGAATATTTATATAGTTGTTTAGATAAAGACTTCATTTTAATCCTATTCTTAAAATCTATTACAGTTCGATATTTAGCTATCATATTATGGTGTGTAAAATGAAAATAGAAAATTTTCAAACTTCCATCATACCGTAGGAAGTTGTATTGGATAACCCCAGGGTTTATATTATAATTATTCAGAGTTTGCTAAACCTGTTCGATTGGAGTTACTACATTAATGGATGAGTAATAAAATGTGTTTGCATTATATCTCTTACTTAATATTCTTGAATATAATAAATCAGCATCGATAACATTTGTTGAATAAACTAATTCAAGATAAATACCAATATCAGAATTAGTTAATAGTACATTATAACATGAAGGTATTTTTGGACTTATTGAAGTTTCTGAGAAGAAATATAATGGCTTCTTACCCCAATAATATTCAAATAAGTGTAGATAATTATACATAAATGATATTGATAGATCGAAAGGTGTGTCTATATAATTTTCATATAAATGAACATATATTCCATCATACATGTAACCTGTTCTACCCTTTTGTTGGATAGAAACAGCATGGGAGGAAGGACAAGTTATGAATTTACTATTTCTTCTACCTATATTAAAACCTGAATCAATTACTATATTATATCCTTGCCACATATAATTCGTGTTTCAGACATTAGTGCCAAAAATTATTTGTGTATCTTCCATTATAGTTTTGTTACATCCTAATATTATTTGACACTTTTTACCAAGTGTCTTTGATAAAGTATCATGTAATTTAAGATATTGTGTGTATGATAGGTGAATTACAAGAACTCTTTTTCTATCTTTAAACCTATTTAAATAATAAAATACATTTGATTTCAAGTAATATGAACTTGGACCTGGGATGACTTCAATATGATAAGGGTTTCTAGATTTAGATAGTTGAATTTCTACACTATTGGGAACTGAAATTGGTATAGCAGATAAACATATAACATGGCCTTTATACTTCTCCATTAATATTAAACTATCTTCATTCATTTCATGTATTTCATCAATACAAATAATAAAGTCATCATCTTTAAACTTTTTATCCAAAGCTAAAAGATAGCCATGTGTACACACGTTATAGCCCTCATCATCCTATATATCAGTTGTTCCAGAATACATTTTTGGCTATACGGATGCATAACCTTTAACTAACATAACACGTAACATACTCAAAATTACCTTTGAGTATTTAGTTGTTAAATTTTGTATAAAATCAGTCGATTTACTAGGACCAGTTTTTGCTGTTATTATTAGTACTTTTCCTTTAGCCATTTCTTCAACAACCTTGTCAATAGAATTCATATGATTTAGTGGTATCTATAAGGCTCCATTCTTTGTATCTTTAACTTAAACAATCCATCAAAGTTAAAGTCAGCTACCATAGGCTATACCAAGTTTATTAATTGCACAAACTTAGTCATTAAAGGTCTTAAAAAGGGTGTAATAGATATTTTTGGCATTTCAACATTACTAAATAATTTAGAGTCAATGAACTCTTTCTGACGATCTCTAAAACCAAAATGACGATGAAAAGGAAAAACTTTTATATATATAATAATACTCTATTTTCTAACATAATATATACGAGTGAGACTGGAAAAACCAGAAGTTCAATAAAATGTGTTCTTTCGTTGAAGAGTAGGCTACGAGCCGTTCATGGATTATTGGCGCTTTTATATATTGTATATATTATATATCTTGTATATATTTTATATACTTTATCGTTAGAAATAAGCTCTGTGGATATAAAAGTTAAAGAAAATACTTGGATAGAGTCGAGTATAACACCACTCCTTATACCTTTCAAGTTTATTTTGGATATCCTTACTCTCACTTCTAAACTTTTGGTCGGTCTTGGGAACGGTTTTGACCGTTTGGCGAACTTGGAGTATTTTTTGTACGAAAAGTGGGGAATGGAGCTCACCCCCTACTAAAGATCGGCATGCACATCATCGACGAATTTGGAAGTAGGCTTATGGTGTGACAACAACAAACACATGTGTGTTTTGGAGTTAGCACAACAAACACGTGATTTTATTTTGCAATGTAAACTATGAGTTTACTGCAATAATAATAAGCCATCACATGTTCGATGAAATAACTGAATCGTTATCAAATATTAGAGATATTTGCAAATAAGTGCATTTTGCATTTATAATTTTTAACTACCTAGTCTTAGACAGAATTGTATATTTAGGTTATGATTCTTACAAGTCACCTTTTATTTTCTTTTTCTTTATTTTTGTTTTTGTTTTGTGCTTTTTCCTTTTAGTTTGTTAGGTTTTTATCTTGTTAGCAAGTTTTCCTAACTTTGCTTTGAATGTTATATGTAGTATGTGGTCTTGCTTTTCACTATATGTAACAATTTTATTTTACTTTTATCAATGTCCGTCTTTCTAGACAGTCAAACAAAATTGTCTTTTTCTTTATGTTAAGGAGGTTTTTAGTATAACAGGTCCATTTGAGCATATATGCAAATAGAGTGTCGAGCGATATTTTCCATTAGGAAATTAGATATATAGGGAGAAACTATAGATTCTTGTATTAAGTTAAATCTTAGACAGACTAGCCATCTGCAATTCTTTATCTAATAAATACATAAAGCACGACTGTTAAAGGAAAAAAAAAAAGATAAAAATTGTCAGGATGCTTTTTATTCTTTTTATATAAAATATTATTGTTTGCTAAATAATTTACTACTTGTCATGATAGGGTTTGCTTTTGTTGTATTGAAATTTAGATGGGAATTTATGAGAAAAAAAATAAAATAAAAGATTTTGATATAGTTTCAGATCTATTTTGTTTGGGTATTAGTTTAGAGAGTTTTTATAAAATAGAGTATTTGAGAGTTATTGATTAATAGAATGAATAAATTCAAACCTAGAAAGTGCATCAGTATTTGTATGATCTCTTCCTTTTCTTTTTATAATATCATAAGGTTCATACTTAGAGAGTTGAATAATCCATCTTGCAAGATGTCCTTTGGGAGATTTATGATGTTTTAACCAAGGAATAGCTTCATGATCAGTTACAATACAAAAGGGTTGTCCTTATAGAAAATGATAAAAATATTTGGTAGCCTAAATAATAGCAAGACATTTCTTTTTAGTGACAGTATAATTTTGTTTAGCAGAGGTTAAAACATGACTAGCATAAGCAATAACATGTTCTTTATTTTCAGAATTTTTTTGAGCTAAAACAGCTCCAATAGCAAAATCAGAAGCATCAGTATAAAGAATAAAAGGTTTTGTAAAATCTGAGTATATAACAATAGGTTTAGAGATAAGATAATTTTGAAGAAATTCAAAAGCATTTTGACACTTCTCTGTTCAGCAGAAGTCAATATCTAATTTAGTTAAGTTAAAAAGAGGCCTTGCAATATGTGAAAAATTATAAATAAAGTGATGATAATATGAGGCAAGACCAAGAAAACAGCAAACTTCCTTTCGAGAGTTAGGAGTTTTGCATAGTCTAATCTTTTGAACCTGAACTAGATTTGGTTCAATTCTATTATCTGATATCAAATGTCTAAGAAATAAGATTTGTTTCTTAAAGAAATCATATTTTTTAGGATTTAGTTTTAATCCTGCTTTGGTAAGAAGTTCAAAACCCTTTTCCAAATGAGAGCAATAATCTTTATGTGATTTTGAATAAATGATTATATCATCTATATAAACAAGAACAAACTTCCAAGATACATTAAAAACACTTTATCTATCAAATATTAAAAGGTTGCAGGTACATTTATTAATCCAAATAGCATTACTGTAAACTCATATGTACTAAATTTGGTACTAAAAGCAGTTTTCTCTTGGTCAACAGGTTCCATTCCTATTTGTCAAAATCTAGAAGTGAGATTGAGAGTTGAAAAGTATTGACTATGAGCCAAGGTATCAATCATATTAGCAATACGAAGTAGGAGGTATGCATCAGGTTTAGTTACTTTATTTAATTGACTATAATTAATTACAAGTCTAAACTTTCTATTAGCTTTGCCAACAACTAATACAAGAGAGGTCCAAGAACTATAAGAAACTTTAATGAGCCCTTGTTGAAGTAATCTGTTCAACTCTTCTTTGATAAATTTTTTGTGTTTAGAAGACATTCTATAGGGATATTGTTTAATAGAAGAGGCATTTCAAGTATTGATTTTATGTTTAACTATTTCTGTTTTTTCTAACTGATCAATATTCTTTGCAATAATTTGAGGAAATTTAGTTATAATTCATTCAATATGCTCTTTATTTTCATTATTTTCTAACTCTTTAGAACCACCTTGTATCAAAAATAACTGAGCTCTTTGAATTTCTTTAAGAGGAATTATTTGTAAAGTCTCTCAATATTTGTATTGATTATGATATTGTTCACAAATATCAGTAGAATTTAAAAGTATTTTTCTACACTAACATTCTCTGTTTGGTCTAGAGAACCAATTTGTATATTTAGATTGATCTTGTTAGCTAGTATATAAAGGATAAAATTAATATTCAAAGTGTTTATACTCTTTCTAAGAGTAGGACTCATTATTAATTTCTATTCCAGTTGGGCTTATTCGATAAAAATGTTAGTCAGAATTTTCATCTTTTGAAACAACCAAACTATAACTTGCAATAAAATCTTCATTCTCATTTATTTCATTATCATTCTCATCATCATCATCATCCTTATTATCATCATCTTCATTATTATTGTCATTATCATAGTTGTTATCATCATTATTGTTGTCATTTTCATTTCTAATATTCATTTGAGTAGTGTTGTGACAAGGAATTTCAGCTATTCTATTACTATTGTTATCAAATGAACTTTAGCATATTTTCATAATTATTTATTATTATATTATATTTGATATTTAGATTTATATATTAGCATTTCTTTCGAATTCTTAATACTAAAAATAGATTTAGGTTATACTATTCGATATAGCTTGATTAGACCTTCAAAATGAGCTATAAATCATATTTGTAGAACATGTAGTTTTTGAATTACCTTAGGATTTATATTTTAAATAACATCTACGTTTGATGATATTTGATGATGTTTAACTACATTTGATGACATTTGACTATAATTGATGATATTTAGTTATATTTGATGATATTTAACTACGTTTGAGAATATTTAGGAAAAAGATATATAAACCCTAGCTTTTCCCTTCTCTTGTAAAGTAGTTCTGTATAGTTCTGTATGCAGTCCTGTAAAGTTCTGTAATCCTTCACAGTTCTCTAATAAAGTTCTGTATAATTCTAAAATAATACAGTACTCAATAAAGTCTAAAGTCCTCTATTAATTCTTTAATAAAGTATACCTTAGCCTTGCCAAAAATACTTCCTTTAAATAAACTACCACAGTGATGTGACATTCTACTTTGATACCATTAGGAGTCACCCTTCCATATTTTATATTACTTGTAGTGTATTGAGAAGGCTATACCACTTGTAATATTACAATAAATTCAAATAAATTAAAAAAATTTGATAAATTTTTATAATTATAATTGTTTTAAATACCATTGAATTAATAAATATTCTTTTTTTTTTTTGTTATTAAGATGGCTTATATTACTGAAGGAATTTTATTAGAATTGCATATAGGATATCTATTGATAATCCCTATTGTTTGTAATTACATGAAGAATATATAATAAGCTATACGTACAACTTTAGTAATTATCTATTTTAGGTAGTTTGCTATACAGATAATTAAATTACTTGATTAGTTCTACACTATGCTACTATATCTGTAACTTGTTTATGAGTTACCTATTTAAACACTCTGTTTATTAACCTATACAGATCTAATCTAATGTCACTATAACACCTAACCACTTAAGCTAGCTAGCTCATTACAGATCTATTTATTCAGAATAGCTTAGATTCTCTTGAGATATATTGTACCTAATGCATTGTAGGTATTGTAGAGCTAGTTAACCTCGAAGTATATCTACTAGAGTGGTTCATACTCATTTTATAGATTCATCTAGTTTAAACTCTTGTAGATATTTATACAATCCTAGTTCTTACTGTAGCTCTCTACCAGTTTTCTGTATTCTATCTTCTCAGATGTTTTACGAAGCAGATTCTTCTAATTCAGTTAGCTACTAAACCAAGTTGGTATTACTAATTCTCTCTGTAGAATAGATTTATGCATATCTAACTCAATTTGCATCTTTTGATAATAGTTTCTTTTCTGGATCAAGCATTAGTAATATGATTATCAAAGACTATACTACTTCACCAACTCAGAATTTCTACTATACAGGTCTCCTGCTTATAGATTCTATTAAGATTTATGTGTATAATGTTATATCTTACTAAATGCTTCATCACACTTCCAATATCTGAATAATATTAGTACAATATGATTTACAGAGTTACAACCTTAGAAATGAACAGAGTTTACTATAAGTTAGATACAAAGATCTAGGTAATTATTCAAATTCATCAACAGTAGAATTTGAACTCCAGACCTCTTGTATAGTAGTCTGGTAACCTAACTACTACACTAAGATCACTAGATCTCTCAATAAATATTCTTTAATAAATTTAGATTAATATATTTAGTATTAATTAAAATAATTTAAAACAATATGTATTCTTCTAATTTTATTAAAAGTTCTTGCTCTTTTGATCTTTTATCTTTATAAAATATTGTAATATTTAGTAAAATAATTTAAATAATTTATATACTATATATTGTAAACAAATAATAACTTTTTTATAGTAATTATCTATATTTGCATATTGTATATTATTCTATTATTACTTAAAAGCATTTGAATTTTTATGTAATTAGAGAAAAAAAAATAAAAATAAAAAGATATAATAAAGTTATAATTTTAAATATTTCAAAAATATTTCAAAAGATTGTGAAAAATTTTAAATATATTTAAAAAATAATAAATATTAAAGTAAAAAGAAATAAATCTATTTAATTTTAAAAAATTTAAAATAATTTGAATTTAATAGAATATAATAAATTAAACTCTAATTTAAATTTTAATATTTATTAGATAATAAATTAAAGTTTAGAAAATATAGATAATTTATAATAATTAAATTTATTTAATTAATCTTAGAATATTTAAAATAAAGTCAATATATATTTATAAATTTATTATCTTCAATTAACTTCGATCTATTTCTATATTAGATTATATTCTAATTATATTCGAAACTAATTGAATTAAATTAAAAAATTAAAATATTTTTTTTTTTTTTTAACTTAGGTAATCTTGCCTATCATTTTATTAAAAATAAGCTAAATTAAGCTACAGGTAAAATGCTACACTATTTATAGCAAACTACTCTTCTAAAACTATTCAGAACTCACTTAGTTGCTTTTCAGTATCTAAGTGTGATCTGCTATAGCAACTATTTCTTTCGTAAGAGTTTGAATTGGTATATACAAATTTCTAGCTCTTAGTTAAAGAGAGGTTGCTACTAGCCTATATCAAAATCACCTAATTTATTTTGAATTTAGCTATCTTTCCTTATTACCTGACCTTATTTATCTATTAACTCTGTTCGAAGCTTCTTTTTGAGTTCTTGTTTCTTTCTCCTTCTTTGATTCCCTTGTTACATTTGTAAAAGATGTGTTCTCTTTTCTTTTCTTTCTTGTTTTTTTCCTTTTTTTCTCTTTATTTGTGATATTGTTTTCTTTTTCCTATTCAACTATTACTTTATACCTGAACTTCCATAATTATTCATAGAAACAAGACCAGAATTGTTTAATGAAGCTTACTAATACTCTGTTTGTCTTGCTTTTTGATTGCACTATCTTGCAAATATCTGCATGTTGTTTCCTATTTGTGAGGTCTCTAAGATGCATCTTTCTGTTATGTATCTTCTCTTCTGGGTCTTCACTATAGAGTGCCTTCCTTAATGTATCATTTTCGAGTGAAAGATCCAACTTTGTTAATGCTTCAAGACTTATTTAATAAAGAGTTTCCTCTTCTAAATTTCTCTATATTTTTTAGTAGATTTCATATTCTGCTAAATAATACAAGATTTCATC